ACACACACACACACACACACACACACACACACACACACACACACACACACACACACACAGACCCGTCTCTCTGCTTTACTTACCCTCTAACTAACTAACTGTCTCTCCTGCCCCCCAGGGTTGGCGTGGACCCAGACCAGGACCTCCAGCCTTGTGGAGAACACTTCCAGGTCCTCCAAGGTGTAAGTCCAGCCCCGTTTCTTCAGCCGCTTGCCCCCTGCTGGCAGGCCTCTGTCTCCACACACGAGTGATGAGGTTCCCCGTTTTGCACAGCTCTGATTTCCTCCTGTGATGAGCAATGTGTGACCCCCCCCACCCCTGCCCTACCCCAGTCATAGGAACAAAGGTGACAGGAAGCAAGCCTTGAGTCCCCAGGAAAGTAGGGGCCCCAGGGCCCAACAGGTGAAGCACAGCTGTGGTTTCTCTCTGTTTTATAAAGGCTGAATCGCGTGGGCCCTGCGCCTCACCTCCGCTATGCACTTGTGCTGATGTTCTCATAATAGGGACGTGCACAGGCCGTCACTGGCCCCGCTGCACATACTAGTGTGACAGGAAATTGGCTTCGCTTTCAGAAGCGAGCGTCGGCACCTCCGGCAAAGCGTGTCGAGTATCTGCTACGTGAGCATTTGCCCTGAGCCCTGGCCCCGGTAACCAAAGTCAAAAAACACAACATCAAACACTGATAAAGTGAACTTCATCATCTCTGCTATATACTAGTATACAGAGATACGGAACGACATGGCTCCAGTTTACACAGATCAAAGGACACATAGAATTCGCATATATAAATACAAAGATACACTATAACAATATAATTTCACAGTTACATGTGGAAAAAAGTCTAAGTTAGAAGGACAGAGTAGTTCAATAATGTGTGCAGTTATGCAACAGAAAACAGAGATATATGCGAACAATATTCAATAATGTGCAAATATTGCATCAGTCAAGTAGAGAACTGCAGTCACAATCACAGAATGTACTTTTTTGTGCATTAAGTGTGCATAGGGTCAGCAGTGTTTGATAAGAGTGTAATGAACAGTCTGAACCAGGATGAACAGTCTGAACCAGGATGAACAGTCTGTCAGACTCCATCCTGCAGTGCAGCAAAGGACAGGCTGAGCTTGTGTGCATGTGTGTATATGTGTGCACACACGTGCTTGTGTGTATGTATATACGTGTGCATGCACACGCTCGTGTGTCTGTCCGTGCGTGTTTGCAGGAGGAAGTCACTGACACTTTTGTCATCGGTGTCTCTGAGCACAGGAAGGATAGCAACCCCCCCCCCCACCCCCCCTTGCCTTTTTGCTAGCCAACAGCTAATCAACATTGTTTGCTCTGAACTCAA